TTAAAAAATAAAACAATAAAAAACACTTTTTCTAAAACTTTTTGAATTATTCAATCACCTTTAATCAACTTCTTCCATCTTTGAATCTTCAATTGGTGTTTCTTCAACAGCTGGAACTGCTTCAGTTGCTTGTTCTTCTTCTTTGTCATCAAGAGACAATCCAAGTTTAACCATTCTATAAATTCTACCAGCAAATGCAGCTGGTTCATCTAATGAAAATCCTGATGATAATAATGCTGTTTCAAATAATAATACAACAAGATCCTTAACGGTTTTATCACTATTATCAGTATGGACTCTCTTTCTTAATTCTTGAACAATTGGATGATCTGGATTAATTTCAAGTGTTTTCTTAGAAACCATGTATGTGCTCATAGAATTATCTCTTAATGCTTGTGCTTTCATAATTCTTTCCATATTAGCACTCCATCCATATTCTCCTGTAACAAGTGCACATGGGGAATTAACTAATCTATTAGAAATTACTACTTTTTCAATCTTATCTCCAAGAATTTCTTTAACTACTTTGCTTAATTCTTCATTATCTTTTTCTTTAGCTTCTTGTTCTTTCTTTTCTTCTTCAGTTTCTTCTACTTTAATTCCATCCTTAGTAATACAAACAAGTTTCTTTCCATCAAATTCTTTAAGTTGTTGCATAGCATATTCATCAATTGGATCTGTCATGTAAAGTACTTCAATTCCTTTCTTAACAAATCCTTCAACAAATGGTGATGTTTCAACAGCTTTCTTACTTTCTCCTGTAATGAAGTATATTTCTTTTTGATTTTCTTTCATTCTTGCAATATAGTCTTTGAATGATGTCATATCTTCTCCACTCTTTGATGAATAGAATCTAAGTAATTCTGCAATTTTATCTCTATTTGTTGAATCTTCATGAATACCTAATTTAAGATTCTTTCCAAATGCTTCATAGAATTTTTTGAAATCTTCTTTATTTTCTGATATTTCTACAAACAATTCAAGACATTTCTTTACAAGATTCTTTCTAATAACTTTAAGAATCTTATTTTGTTGTAACATTTCTCTTGATACATTCAATGGAAGATCTTCTGAATCAACTACTCCTTTAATAAATCCTAACCATTCAGGAATTAATTCTCTACAATCATCCATAATAAAGACTCTTCTTACATATAATTTAATGTTATTTGGTTTCTTCTTAGTTTCAAACATATCAAATGGTGCTCTTTGTGGAACAAATAATAATGCTGTAAATTCAATTTGTCCTTCAACTGAAAAATGTTTAACTGCAAGATGATCTTCCCAATCATTAGAAATAGTTTTATAGAATGATGCATATTCTTCTTTTGTAATTTCACTTGGATTTCTTGTCCAAATTGGTTTTTGTTTATTAACTTGTTCCCATTCATGTGTAACTTTTTTTACTTTCTTTGTTTTCTTTGCTGGTTTTTCTTCTTCTTTCTTATCATCTTCAATTTTAACATCTTCTTCCTTCTTATCTTCTTCTTTTGTTTCTTCTTCTTTCTTTTCTTCAGCTTCATCATCTGTTACTTCTTCTTCAGTTTCTTTTGTAACATATAACATAATTGGATATTGAATAAATTCTGAATGTTTCTTAATAATTTCTTGAATCTTCTTTGTTTCAAGATATTCTTGCATATCTTCTTTAAGTTTTAAAATAATCTTTGTTCCTCTCTTTAATCTTTCTCCACTTTCATCAAGTGTAATTGTATATTCTCCTCCTGCTGATGATTCCCAAATATATTGTTCATCATCATTATTTTTTGTAATAACAGTTACTTTCTCTGCAACAAGATATGATGAATAAAATCCAACTCCAAATTGTCCAATCATAGAAACATCAGCTGTTCCTTCAATAATCTTTGACATGAATGTCTTTGTTCCTGATCTTGCAATAGTACCAAGACAATTAATTAAATCAGCTTTTGTCATTCCAATACCTGTATCTTCAATAATTAATTGTTTATTATCTTTATCTGCTGTAATTCTAATAACTAATTCGGGTTCAGCTTCAAGAACACTTTTATCTTGAAGTGATTGATATCTAATTTTATCAAGTGCATCTGAACAATTTGAAATTAATTCTCTTAAGAAAATATCTTTATTTGAATAAAATGCATTAATAATCAATGACAATAATTGATTAATTTCTGCTTGGAATTGATATGTTTCAGTCATTTCTACTTCTAATGATTGATCTTTTCTATTTCCCATTTAAATACTCTTCTTTTGTCTACGATGTAATTGTAATACACCACGTCAGCTCTCGTTGTCATTTGCTCTTCCTTCATTTATTTATTTTCTTCTCTTCCTCTTTTACTTTCTTTTCCTATTTTTTTACTATATTTCTTCCTCTTCTTTTCTTTTTTTTTTAGGTTTTTTATTTAGGGTTTCCCTTTCCACGTAGTGCTTTCTTATGAGATGACTTATTTTTTAATGATGTGTATTTTTTCTAAAACATTTTTTAAATAACAATATTTCTCTCTGTTGCTAGACTTTGGAACTTGTATCTTTTGTTTTTTTCTCCTCTTTATCATGACCACTTTTACTATTTATATAGATGATGAAGCAATGCCTTCTTCTAGTGATTATAGTGCACCAGGTAGTCCTGTAGCTAATTTTTCAAGAAGAGAAGAATTCAAAGTTTTATGGAAACAATACAACGATGATTATGATTTTCATACCAATCAATTTATAAATATTCATATTTTTAAGTCAACAGTTCAACCAGAACGGTCTGATCCATCAAACCATGATGGTGGAAAATGTTGGATAACAACAAGTCGTTCTTTTGTATTAGAAAGTTTTGAAGCAATGGTTGATGAATTATTATTTAGTGATTGTTCATTTTTTTCAAGTATTAATGGTATTACAGCTTGTTTAAAAACAGAAACAAATTCAACGATGGGTATTTGGATTAAAAGTTGTGAACAACATATCATTCATTCATGTAAACGATTTATAGAAGAAGGAAGTAAACAAACAGAAGTAATGTTTGAAAAACACAAAGATGAAAACCAAAGACGACCATCATTCTTTAGTATGTTAGCGGATACAGATGAAATAAAAAAAGAAGGAAATGAAACTAAAAGTCCTGAAACGGAAAACGAAAATAAAAAATCAATAGAAGGAGTTGAGGGGAAAATAACACAAGAATTATATGAAAGACCAAAAACAAAGAAAATTGAAGAAGGATTTAATGAATTAATGGAAATGGCTGATCCAGATGATTTTTTACAACAATTTGTTGAAGCGGAATTAGAATTATCAACAGAAGAATTATGGGGTGATATTTATGAAGCAAATAAAATGTTATTTATTGTACCATCAACAACATTAGAAATTAAATTACGTTCATTTCATAAAATACTTAATTATTCAGGTATAATGACTGATTGTGGAAAAAGAAAGAAAAGTGGAGAGAAAAAGGTAAATCCAGTACGAGTGAGTAAAAAGATTAAAGAAAGTTTCACTAGTTCAGAAGATACATCAAGTACAGAAATTAATGACTCATTTGGATCACTTTCACTTGAAGCAGTTACTCCAGACACAACATTTGATGGAGCTACATTACCCGATAAAATAATTCAACATTCATTAAACACAAAGAGTCAACGTGCATCAGAATGTATTGATTCAAAAGTAATTAATAATACAAAGGAAGCAAAAGAAAGAATAGAAGAAATAAAAGGAATGAAAGAAAAAGAAAATAAAAAAATAGATGAATTTGAAATGAAGGATATTACTATTCCAACAATGATTAGTAAAGAAAGTGAATCAACAATTGAATCAAGTGAATCAATAACTAAATTTAAATTAAATGCAAAACCATTCACACGAAAAAACAAAACAAAAACAACAGAAAGTTCTATAGAATCACAATCAATAGGAGATATTTCTGATGAAAGTAGTATTATTGAAACAGGAGTTATTTCTGATGAAAATAAGCCAAAAACAAAAATTAATATAGATTTAACAAAACCAATTAAGAGTTATATCCCTCATCATTTAAAAGAAGTAAAAGAAAAAACAGCAAAAGAAGTAAAAGAAGAAACATCTTTAAATCAAGAGAAAAGTATAAAAGATACTGAAGATAATATTAAAGAGAAAAAAGGAACAAAACAAAAGTCAGAAACAAAAAAAGAAAATAAAAAAACACTTAAAAAAGAAGAACGAAAGAAAACACGGTTTATTGAAGTCCCTATTCAAAGAGACATTGCAGAAGCAATTATTCAAAGACCAATACAAATAGAGTCTAAGAGTGATGATAAAGATAATATTGGATTTACAGACATTCCATATCAAATTGAAAAAACAGAAACAACACATAATAAAACACAAACAACAACAACTGTTTTAGAAAAGCCAATTGCAATAAAAACACAACGAGAAAAAGATATTAAAGCTATTCCAATGGTATCAAAATCACCTGGTATTGAAAAAACAAAGAAAAGTTTATTATTAATGAGAAGAACAAAAAAATCAATACCATCAACTCCTGGAGAAGTTAAACGAAAACAAAAAAGAGAGAATGGAGGTAATGAAGTAAAAGTTGAACCTATGAGAAAACATAATCCAAATAAAGTTATGGAAATTGATAAACCAAGAAATGAAGGAAATGAAACAGAGTCTAGAACAGTAGTTACACCACCAGCTCGATTACCATGGCATATTAGAATGTTAAAAAAAGCAAGTGAGAGTGGAGAAGATTTTGTATTAGTATTCAAATATCATAATCAAATAGTTGTTATTGTAATTACTGTAATGATACTAACAACACTAATGATCATAGGGTTAATGTATTTAATCAATGTAGAATCAAGTTATGATGATTAAATTATGATAAATACAAAAAATTCAATGTTTTTTCAATCAAAATTTTAAGAATTTTTAAATAGTTGATGAGTTGAGAAAAATAATAAAAAGAAATAAGAAAAAAAAACTATAGAGGAAAGATAAACTAAAAAACCCTGTTAATTGAAAGATGCCAAAGAGAGGAGCTGGAGGAAGACAA